ATCCTTTGTAGCAACAGTCAGCCACACAGACATTATCTCATTCTGGCTGCATATTACGTCAGGAGGTACTGCTCAATTCTACACAGATATAACTTAACAGAATACATATTGTACTAATTGCATAGACAAGATATGAAGTGACTGCTTTGATATTTAGAAACTAACAACCTAACAATTTTTTTATTGCTTGATTGGTTTGGTTAAATTTTATTAAAAAGACGCTGAGAGCGTGGCGTGAATACCAAAATGACTCACTTAAATATACAGCCACATATATTCACCTATCAAAGCCTCGTCGAGTTTGCAGCTATGTCAGGATAGGCCTCAATAATGTATGTGTGCCCAGCACCTTTCCAGTATGTTAGCTGAGGTCTACAATAAAAGCATTAAAACTGAACACTATCGAATCAAAACGAGTGAGATCAGATGCGAAACAAAAAAAAAGACAGTTATTTCCATTCGAAGAAGTGTATGAAGTGTGAATAAGAAGGAAAGAGGTCTGTATGTCTTAATTTTTGCTTTTCAACAATTTATATTTTGTCGAAGTAATTTGAATTATAATTAATATGCTTTATAAAATAATAAGTGACGAAATGCAAAAAGCGATTCGTCAAGATGTTTCGTATTATTTATTTGGATATAAGCGCTAATCAGAACCCTACATTAAAGTTTTGAGCACGAACAAGCAAATTAGCCTTAAAATAAAGAAAACGTAAAGGGTGTGGGTGTGGAGTGTAGGTAAGGATGAGCATAGTGAATAGAAGAAGAGGACCAGGATCACTCATTACAATTACTGCAGTTAATAACTGAGTATTTTGTGTAATTTTTTTTCATACTTGATACTGATTATCTATACTTCTCTGGCCTCTTTCGCTGATAAGATTTCTGAAATATCCACATGTCGAAGCAGCACGCCCGTTAACTACGATAAATGGTCGTATTTTTAGTGTATTACATGCAAGGGGGAAAAACTCATTCCGAGCCATTCGAATGGCTAGGAATGGATGGAATGGCTAGAAATGGCTCGGAATGGCAAGGAATTACGGATGCACCAGTCCAGGTGAACTAGGTACCCAGTCGGACTGAGCTCTCAGCTCTACCGAATATCGAGTCAACTGACCTAGGGTTGATTCGATAATCAGTATTTTTCTTTTTGACCAAAGATTTTGCGGGTTCAGGAATCCACATTTCCAATCAGTTTCTAGAAATTGTGTACTTGAGTTTTTTCATCAAAGGAAGGGTTTTTTAAGAAAATAACGATTTTTTATAAAGTTTAACCAAAAGGTAATCCGGGTCGAGGAATCCGAATCTATAATTAGTTTCTTGAAGCTTTGAGTTTGACTTTTGTATCAAAAAATTTTTCCTTTAACGAAAAAAAATTTCTTATGCAGAAAAAAAACCCTTTTTTCGCAAAACAATTTTTTAGTGAAAATACCTTTTTAAAAAAAGTCGCTTTTTTTTTTTACTAAAAACATGTTTTTTAGAAGAAAGCAACTTTTTGCTAAAAAAAGTGTTTTTAATAAAAAACATGAAACTTAAAATTTCGAACAACTCATTACAGATTTGAATTCCCCGACCCCGATTCCCTTTGGTCAAACTTTATAAAAAATCGTTATTTTCTTTAAAAAACTCTTTCTTTGATGAAAAAACTCAAGTACACAATTTCTAGAAACTGATTGCAAATTCGAATTCCTCGACTCTGAAAATTTTTCGTTAGAAACAAAAATAATGATTATCGAATCAGCTCTAGGTCAGCTCATTGGATATCCAATAGAGCTGGGAATACAGTCGAACTGGGTACTCAGACGGACTGGTACCGAGTCGACTAGTTGGGACTGGTACTGGTGCATACTTAGTCGGAATGGTTAGGAATGACTGGGAATGGATAGGAATGCCAGGGAATGCTCGAATGAGCTTTTCCCCCCTTGATTACATGGCTCTGTATTGCGATCGTATTTATTGTGCCGTAGACGATAGTACGTCTTCGTATACAATATAGGAAAATACGATCGTGATATGAAGTCATGTAATACACCAAAATACGATCGTATATGATGAAATACAGAGCCTATAGGGATTTTATATACTTCGCTCTGGGTTCATTCTTTACCAAATTTTCCAGTGAAACCGCATAATCCCTCTCGGATCACGTTGAAGGTTGACTTTCGAGTTTCAACTTGAAGCTTTGCACAAAGAATGTTCTCAATGAGACTTATTCATTGTACAGATTTCAATCTTGTTAGTTTCTTCTGTCATGAGATCCGAATGTAAGTACAAACATTTTGGGTGCGGGTGTGGGGGGTGGATACGGGTATTACTACGGATTCCTTCACACCCACACCCCACCCAACACCCCGCTAGAGCTCGTCGGGTAGACTCGGACCCGGACCCGGACCCGGACCTGTACCCGACCGGGTCTGGGTTCGGATTCGGGTCCAAAAATTTAAATTTAATCGGATCCGTATCGAGTTCCGGGTCTGGAAATTTTGTATAAAGCGGGCCCGGGTCGGGTCCGGATCTAAAGCAATTTTTGATGCATATGCGAATATTTTTGGACGTTTTACTGATCTTCAGTTTTCTCCGAAAAGCTACTTGCTTTTGATTGCTAGTGTTAAAAATAAGTTGTTTGTGTTGAATAGAACACGTTGCTTTGGTCTCAGACACAGACGAGATCGGGTCCAGGTAGGACCCGGGTCCGAAAATTTTCTATTTACTGGGTCCGGGTATGAAATTTTTTTTCAAGACCGAGTACCCGGCCAAAAGAAGTTCAACAGAGGGTACGGGTCCAAAAGTGTTGTACCTGATGGGCTCTACATCCCACACCCACACCAACACCCACACCCACACCCACACCCACACCCACACCCACACCCACACCCACACCCACACCCACACCAACACCCACACCCACACCCACACCCACACCCACACCCACACCCACCCTTTTTCGGAAATTTGAACACTTCTGAGTTACCATTGTATGAACATAAATGCACCCATCCTTTGATAATTTCGGAGAAAATACATTTAGAAAATAAAACTAATTTGAAGGAGACATGTTAGAAATAACAATATTAGTAGGCGAATAACAAAATCATCTGCGAATTTTGGTAACTGATTTCTTTGTCCATATACATGGGACTTTTATTCTATTGCTGCCTTTCATACACTCATAGACAAATGAGAAGAATATCTGTTTGTTTAGTTAGACAAACATCGCACTAGATAATCATATAAAATCTTTTCAGAATACAACTGATTATATAGTTCTACATAGATTATCCAGTATATATTATATTTGTAGCACCACCATCATATGCTCAAGCTCGAATTTGGCTTGATGAAAGAACTCGATTTTATCCTGACAAAGCACAAACAGCAATATACAATATACCATTTATTATCTATCATCATCATCATCTACTTTATCAGTCAAACAACTTCATCATGCTCTTTAGCTCATATTGAATAAATATTCATCACTTCGAACATCTCTCATCATCAATCCAGAAACAAATCATCTCATGCAACGAATCATTCACTTCAACGATAACAATGATAGATTATTTACATTCATCGAAAGTATTTATGAAACAGATGAACAACTATATCGAAAAATGATTTTTTTGTTAAAAAGATATTCTGATATGAAAGTTGATCGATTGATTCACTGTAACCAGAGTGCCAATTCCCATCATGACAAATGGTGAGATGTCAATGATCTGTTTTCGTACAAACATAGATGAGCAATCAAATGAGTTATCTCATGAAAACATTCTTCATCTTTTTTGTCATTGAAATGAATGTTACATTTGTCAGTAACATTTTCCATGTACGTCCAATTAGAATAATAAAACTTGTGTTCTATTATCCTTCGATCACCGAATAATTTCAACGTATTGATCGATGCTAATTCGTGACAAATGATCGTAAAAGCATGCAAACGACCGATTTGAGTTGGTGTCGTATTTAAAAATGAGACAATCTCATCTAGCATTTCGTTCATTTCAGTGATGGTAACATTCGTATGAGTTTTACGCAATCGTCGGATTATCGAAACATGATGTTCTAATTGTGAATCAATCTAGGGTCATGATGAGGATGTGATTGGGAACAAAAATGAAGACGACAGTCTCGCTCACACCCTCAAAACGTCGAAGCAAATCAATTCACATTTCATTTTCTCGGACATATTCAATGTTGGAAATAGTAGAATAGAATTATTTCAACACCAGGCAAGATTTTCTCTTTTATTTCTCTAAGACAAAGTAATTCTTTTGTTTGATAAAAATCAGCAAGGTGTCACAAATGTGGATGTTGATTTAAAGGTGATATAATCAATAAATTCTTATCATTGCGAAATAAATATTTGTTATGATCTTCGTCATTGTTATTCGTTGACATTTGATCATTTGATGATTAAAAACTCTACAAAATAATATGACATTATAATCGATATATGATATGTGTTTGGTTACTGATAAGATTGGAAATGACTCTTTGAATAATATCAATCCTGGGTGATGATCAATTGTTACAAAAATACGGCCTGTCAGTAGAATCAACCAGTCACTTTCGTTTTATCTTATTGCTACTCCAAACAAACCCAGATCGAACTCATCTCACTGAATTCGATGAGAATCCGCCAAAAGTTATTGGATTCTTGACATTAAATATCGACGGAAAATTGTCGGGTGTCGGAAAGCATCGAAGTTTAAGTACTCCGGCAGGATTATGGTTATTTCGATCCTTTTCGACATCGGACAACTTCTTGTTGGAATTTGATGTCAAGGATTCGATAACTCACGATGGTCTTATCGGATTCGATAATCTTTCGATAGAATCTAAGGAGTATGACTGTCAGATTGCTCGTGCTAGAGAATACGAAAAGTTCAATTTACATAGGAGTCATATGTTTGATCTATTAGTAACTGAATCATTATCACTATGATCGTTGAATGATATGAAATCAAAATGATGTTATATTATTACGATCAAATTTATGGGCTGAACGATACTAATAACGAAGCATTATTAGTTTTTGTCTTCTGAAAAATACAACTTAATGCATGTGAATGTGAAACTTTTACTTGAAATATTTCAGAATCAGATGGTTTAAGACGAGTTTGCTTCGTCTCATCAGTTGTTGTTCTTGCCAATAACGATGTTGAATTGTTGAACAAATGTATTGCTCGATCTTCTACGACTTCCACCGCTTCCAGTTGGATAGCTCTTGAACGAAAATGACCTTTTGAATCAACAATATACTCGATTTCCTTAGCTGTTTTATCTAAAATTAGATAAAGTTGAATAATACTTGTTGAAAGAAACTGGAAAAAATTGTCTTTAATAATAATTTAGAATTATAAGCTTATTCAGTAATAAATATTATTTCAAAACATTGTTTCTATAATTGCATTTAATATTGGTTTATATGAATTTTTTCTACTTGTTTACAGATATTATGAGATAGAAAGGCAAAAACTCATTCCGATATCCTAATGACCTCAGGTACATTGACATATATCGGAATGGAATGATTATGAATGTCTGTATACATTTTTCTCGGTGGATACTGTTTAAACTTCTCACCTATAAAATATAAATACACAAGGTAATTCATAAAAATAATATGCTGAACTTTCGATGCTGATATAAGTTGTAATGATAGTATATCTCAGTTTTCTCTCAGCTTTCGTCTTATTGTGAAACAACATGCAATTATTTCGCTTTATGTTGGTTACCTACTGTTTTGGAATCAACTACTATGAATGAGTGATCGTTGTCCTTTAACTTCAAAGCTAAAACACCGATTATGATGTCTGATTTGCCAAATTTCGTTACATGTTGAACAACAATAATTGAACCATTTTGTTCTCCTGAATGCACATCTACCAATAAATCGATGTTGAATTCACCACTTAATGATGGTTCTGGTGCTGGCAAGTTAAACTGTACATCACTGTACAATATATTGTTTAACACCTGTTTACAATAATATGATTCATTATGAATATCAGCATGAACACCACCGCGAAGCGAATCAATGTGAGTTTGAAAGTCGATCATATCTGACGATTGATTTAATCCCCCTAATATCAAAACACCACTACAAATAAAATTCATTTATTTTCATGATTCTCTTTCTAACAAAAGACTTTCAGCGATTCTTCATGCACTCAGATGAAGAAAAAATTTGTCTTTTACATCACAAAGTAAAATATTCATTTGATATAATACGAATGAGTAAATTATTTATTTAATAGATAATAAAGAGAAATATGAAGTTGAAAGAAAAAAGTTGTGTTTTTTTCAAAAGAAATATTCATTTGAAGAAGCAAGTGTAAGACGATATGTTCTTTGATTATCGTAACATATTCGATATGTACACATTATTTCGTCATTTCGTGTTCACTGTATTTTGATTTGTCAAAATACGCATCTTTATTATCAAATCATTTATCTCTTTTCATCTCTGTAAAACCTATTGGCCTTTATTTTTAAAGAAAATATTTTGTTTTCTGTATTCACAAACATCTAGAGATTAATTGAAAATTTCATTTTGAACAGTTAGTAGCATAAATGACCGCAAAAAAAGATTTCAGTGACTCACACATTGATATGTCTTACTCAGATGATTCAAAGAATAGGAGTAACAATTGACTATTTCCATAGTGAATCAATTATCATCGATTTCGTTTTATTTCTAAACGTCCTAAATATTAGATAAACTTACGCAATAGTTGATCCAGGTGATGTAAGACGTATATGTTCACCAACATTGTTCAAGCATAAATCGACATTGTTTATATCCATTTTGCCCACCGGGAGGAATAAATCATTGCGGTGTTTTCAATAAATATGTTTTGACCACTGGCTAATAAAACGGCAAATGCAACACAAGGACCAACTCCTGTCGTTGATAAAAAATCATTAGATGAGCCGAAACAGTCCATTTCAATATCATTAATTATTTCCTTTTTCACATTTATTGTAGTCAATGTCATCTTTTATTTTATTTATTGTTTGTATTTTCTTAGATAAAGAAATCTCGATATTTGATAGGAAAAAAAAGAATGACATGTGTACACACATACACACACACATATATATATATATATGTGTGTGTGTGTATGTATACAAGGCTTTGACAGCGATGCGACACAGCATCACTAACTTCATATATAAAATCACTTCATTCAGATAGACATAACATCGTTCTAAAAGAAGGATTAGATTAAACAACTTATTGTAAAGTATCGAAAGTTGAATATGACCAACATGATGTGATTATTAAATATATGGGGGCGAACGATGAAAATAATACTTTGAATAATATCGAACTATTTCTTGCTGGAAATACAATAATAAAATAACTTTTACCTAAAGATATTATTCGTTTATATGTGACCTGTACACAACAAATACTAATATGCATTATCGCAGAGTACATCTCTTACGAACGTTTATGTAACGATACACGGAATCAGTCACTATTAGACGTTATATTCAAATTAATATTTGATTTCCAATCACAGGCAAAAATTTAATAATTTCCAAATTTGACAATCATCTTCATATGGATGATTTCCTTATATTGAAAATCGTATGATCCATAGCAAAGAAAAACGTCAAATATATTATAAACTAGCTGGTAACCCTAGTCGAACATCTTGTAAGCAAGATCTTGACCAAGATACAAGATACAGAAAAGTGAGCAGATCTTGAAAATTCAGCTACCATGGTACATTATAATCATTCAAGAGTAAGATGCTCTATACTCTGATGTATCTGAGACTAGATGTCCAAACATAGTCAATTGATCATTCGATAAGTCAATGAATTACTCTCATTAAGGGATGACACTGCTTCTAAATCGATAGACTGAGTGAAGAGTGTATCATATACTATTCTATAGTTTTTTTTACTGGTATCCGAAATTCAATACAATACATCGACGGTTTTCAATTTTGACAAAATAATAAGCAAACTCCCGTTAAATAGATCAAGAATGTCTCTGTTAGAACAGTTATTGATGCCTAATTTGGATTCTCATTTGCTCTGAATACTTATATATATATATATATATGGGCTTGGCCAGTCTGGCCGGATACCCCAATACTATTTTTATCGTTCTGCTCCTAAAATACATCCGAAAAATATGATTTTTATACCACTTCTAGTGCTCATATAATGCTAATTAACAGTCAAGTCTAAGAGATCTATATCGTGTATGAAACCAAAACAATCAGAGTCTTCAAAAACACCGGTCCGTAAATAGCAGAACATTTTTTGAAGACTTTGATTATTTCTGTTTCACACGCGGTATAGACCCTTAGACTTGACCGTTCATTAGTATTATATGAGCACTAGAAGTGGTATAAAAATCATATTTTTCGGATATATTTTAGAAGCAGAACGATAAAAATAGTATTGGGGTATCCGGCCAGACTGGCCAACCCCATATATATATTGCATGCAAAAGTTCGCCGTTATCGCCGGTGAAAACATTTAGGATAGTATAAGTATTATTACGAAGTAAAGCAGAATTTTCATCATTACTATCATTACAATTCGTAGTACCATCAAAAGACATTTTTTTTAATTTGCATCGGTACATAGTTGATTTGATTTGTGACAAAGTTTCAGTATTAGTTCTTTAGAATTTCAATGCCTGTATTAATTTGTTTATTGAACGATGCGATATCATTTTCCGAAAGGATTTATTGCATGCCTGATAGGATTTTACGGAAAATTATGATGATGATATAAGTGTAGAATAGGTCTGAAGTCCAAACACTATTTCTCTATCTCTATATAGACATTTACACTCTATTATTGTAATCCTATATGATATTGACAAACGTTCTTTTTGAAAAGAACGCATTGATCAAATCTGCATTCAATTCTCTTCCAACTAAGATCAGAATCGAACTCTTTGCTATTGCCTCACTTAACAAAACAACCGATATAAATCAGCAATTTTCGGTATCCCCAATTTGTTATTTCATCCAGACAATTTGTCAAGATGCAATAGTGACAGATTTCTTCGTCAAAGAACTCTTTTTTGTTGGTTTTTTCACACAGATCTTCTGTATAATAGCATCACTAAAGAGGTGGACTGATAAGAAGAATCGACATGCTAATAAAAACACAGCAAACGTCTTCGAAATATAATCGTCAGATTCAATTCATATCATTGTTCATTTACAGGCTATAACTATAAATAGATTTTCATAGATATAAATCACATTAGGTAAAAATAACTTTGAGTATTATATCAAGCAAACGAATGTCTCTGAATATGTATGTGAGCATCGACTTACCTATACCAAAATAATTCTCAAGTTATACCAACATCTACATTTGCATTTTTAACAGATTTTGAAGCGAGAACATCTGTAACATACCACAAAGCAATATCCGTAAAAATCGAATAACGACACATATTAGCGATGGATCATAAATAGCACTTTAGATGTAGGAGCATCTGCTTCAGTAGTAATCACACCAGAGACTTCTTTGCAGAAAGTTTTCAGAAGAATCTTAAATCTTCTCGTTGAAACACAGACTATGATAAAAAAAAACAAAGAAAATCTTATGTGATCTAAAACGCTATTTTTCGTCGAGTACAGTTTTCATTCTTGAAAAGTCTGCCTTTCGAATCTATCAGTAACAGTGGCCACGATGTGGGAGGAGATGGATGAGAGCGTCATCACTCCCTATTTTTCATATTGTATCTGCAAAATTTTATCCGCTTGTATTTCTGAAAAATATCGAGAGCTTTAATCACCAAACCAAAAAAGTTTCTTCTATTATCGTTCGAACGATGTTATCGAAGTTAAGGTTCTTTTCTTCAAATGAATAATATCATTTGAAATGCAATTTTATAATGAAAAGTGAATGCATGATGGTCTTTTTAATATTTAAACCAAAAATTGATCTACGTCTACAACTACTATGACTTACATCTTCCATGAAAATCTCCTAAACTGACATATTGTATCATTGTTGGAATATCGTACAGCATCTTATTCTTCTCTGCTTATGGATACAGTAGTGTGATGAAGTTATTTGATTTTAAAGACGTGTACCATCAAATCAGAAAGCTAATCTATTCTTCCTTTCAAAAAATGACATCTCCTATATTTATTACGAACAATAAGATAATCTACGTTGATTTATTTTCATAAAAATTTTGTTGTAAAACGACTACACTCTTAACTATCTTGTATTGTATTGTCTGAAAGTGAATAAATGACATCTTATTGAGAATATCTCTCGTACCAATATGAAATCATCAAATTTTATCTTGAGTAGAAAAATTTCTATGCATGCTCAAATAGAAATTTTTTCTCACGGGAAAAA